AAAAAAAAAAAAAAATCTTATAAGTGCACCCCAATGAAAAATAGAGATAGCAGCGCTTTAAAAAGCTCTAAGGCTCAACACAGGCTCATTCACACTTTGGGGGGTGGGATCTCCTCCCACACAGGCAAATTGCTTTCTCTTTGCATTTCTCAGAGACTGCAAAAGCAGGATGCAGTGGGCTGCGTAGAAATCACAGGAAACTGCCAGTTCCTCATCATTGCTCACCGTCGAACTCCTCCCAAACCCAAACCCTACCCCGCGTCTTTCCTTTCACTGTTCGCTCACAAAATGCAATCTTCTATGGAAACGCTCTGGCCCTCAAGATTACTTCAGGGAATGATTTCTACATTTTAGGACCCTAGCTCTCCAATAAATCTTGGTTTGGGATATAGATGTGCAGGTTATTTGGGAGGAACTCAGACAATAAATTTGGCTATACGGGGATGAGTCTTAGGGAAACAGGGAGATGACAAAGTCAGTCTAGGTTTGGCTTGTACGGTCAAACTTCAACAATCAACTAATCAGAACCGATCTGAATTTTCCCACCTGTAAAAGGGAAAATAATGTTTGCTTTGCCGTGTTATTTTACGTCGACGTTTTAAAAAATCGACAGTCCATTATCTCTTTTAAACGTAAAAATACTGATAGGACACCGTTCCTTGCTGTGGGAGAGCTTAAGAACAAGTGAGTTGCCGTAAGGACCCACACACAACCTATGCTCAACAGATCTAATTATTATTTTATTGTTCAGAAGAGGGGTGGCAGGAGAAATAAAAGTGCTCTGCAAATACTACCGAAGCCATAGGGGATGGAAGCAAAGTCAAGAATTTCACGTTACTGTTCAGTTACGGATCTGAGCTTCACGGTAATTTAATTCTCCCATATTTGGGGCTGAATTCTCAGAATAGATCAGAATGGGATGTAAGGGGCTGAGATCATCTGGTACAATTTTATGCAAATCGAAAATTCCTGCCTCCTGTCACAGTGCCCGGGCGAAAAACACCTCCACCCAGGCTCATCCTATCGGAGACCCCAACTATAGGACGTCATCGCTCCGCCCTGCACCCCAGGGTGGAGGAGTCCAGTCTCTAAGCTACCACCAATTCCAGCAGCGTCTGCGCAGTGTGGGGAGGGGCGGGGCGGACGCTTGCGCCGCGCGGCGTGTGGGCGGGGCCACTGCGCACGCAGCCTCCGTCCCAGCCCCTTCCCCGCCCTTTCTCTTCCCGGTTTGTGTCAGCCTGTGGGTCCTGTCTGCTGGCTGCTTCCGGTAGGAGCGCCTAGTAGGGCGAGCCGGTCTCAGCTCCTCGTCATGTCCTACGGACCCTTAGACATGTACCGGAATCCGGGGCCTTCGGGGCCCCAGCTCCGGGACTTCAACAGCATCATCCAGACCTGCAGCGGCAATATCCAGCGGATCAGCCAAGCCAGTGAGCCCGGGAGCCTCCTGGGGGCGGGGGGCGTCCTGGGGGTCGGCCGGGCGAGGTGGCCGCGATGCGGAGCCTGGCGCGGGCTGCGGCCGAGGCCACACCTGCGGCTGTCTCGGGCTGCCCCGCTAGGGGCGGCGCCCGCCGTCCCCGCGTCTGGCAGGCCCGGGCCCCCCACAGTCCCGAGCCCCAGCCGAAGCCCCAGTTTCCTTTCCCGAGTTCTGCCATCACAATGTCCGAGCAGACCTGACAGCCCGGGGCTGAGGGTCCGCGTGCATCTTCGAGGGCAGCGAGTGCTGGACTTGACGCAGTGGTCAGCCGAGTTTTTCCTGTCATCCGCCTCCACCCACCTCGCTTTCCTCTTTGGCCAGTGTGGATGGGAGGGGGGTTGTTTACTGGTTAAGGCTTTAGGTTTACGTTCAGCTTAGCCACTGATTCCTTAGAAATCAGCAACTTTCAATTAAGGGAAGTGGAGAGTGCATCTTTATGGGAGATTTAAAACACACCGCTTCCTGTAATGTATTTGCAAGTGGGACACAGTGGCTGGGATTTGGCTTCTGTTTTAGTAAAGATAATTTATCGGAAGCATTTTGACTGACACTGTAGCAAAGAGTTTGTTTATATTGTTGGGTTTCAAACAGATGAGGCTTTCATTTTCCTTCTCTGTTGAGCCACTCTTTCGAATAAATCTGATACACAAGAGAAGCTCAGGGACTGAGCCACAACCACACAGCAAGTAAGAGATGGTGGAGTTGGCGGTGGAATTCAGAATGTCATTGCTTCTCTGAAAACTCCCCGCTCACCACTAGGGTCTGGGTGAGACTGTAGCCGAGTCAAACACTGGCTGTTTCTTGTGTTTGAAAACCATCTCAGAGTCTTATAAACAGATCAGCCCCAGTAATTTCTTGGAAAGAAAGGTGATCGTTACCCTTGTTGTTTGTTACTGTGTTTCTGTGAGCTTGGCTGTTGGTCCTGAGTTACAATTATGTCCTATGTTTGAAAGAACAATCTATCATTTTGCTTTTAAATTAAAATGTATACTATAGAATCTGAGAGATTGAAAGGTTTCTGACGGGAAGGACCCAGGATGGGTCATTTGCAAGTGGAAAGAAGAATATGTGCCCTGGTAAATCTAGAAATTAAAAAAAAAAAACAAAAAACATTATTATGACTGTTGGTTACAAAGTATAGTACTTTGTGTTCCAGTTTTCTTCTGAGAGGAAGCCGTTGTACAGGTTAGAGGAGAAAATTCTGGTTCAAGGCTGAAATTTTCTTCTTGAGGCCAAATCCAATTTTAATGCCTTTTTGTAAAATAGCGTATATTTGCTTGAGTATCAGGCTATGTAGTGTGTTCAGAAATGATCATGAAGTTTTTCAACAGGGAGTCTGTGGAGTACATAAACTACTATCAAAGTATGAAGTTGAAAGGGATTGGTACTATAGAAGCGTTATAAATAACATAACAGAGGTATTTGGGGAGATAGACCATTTTTAGTTTGTAGGGATCAGGGAAGGCATTACGACATTTGAGCCAGGTCTGGGAATGTGATGGGAAGGATTTAAGCTTTGAAAGTAAAGAGGGAATAGGGTGAACAGACACGGTAGTAGGAAAGCATAGGGTACATATAGGAAGAGTGATTTAATTTGGCTGAGGTGATAAACTCTGGAAAATAAAGGAAAGTGACATTGGAAAGGGAAGTTGGAGCCCAAGCATGAAGGACATTATGTGCTACCTAAGGGACTTGGATTTAATTTCTTAGGAATGTGTCAATTGAGTTGGAAGGGAGAGAGACTGGAATCAGAGAACACCAGTTAGGGACTGTGAAGATGAAAAGGAAGGATTGAATGGGAGTTTTCTTGGTGATAGAATTGATAAGATTTAGCTGTTGATTGGGCATTGCACTCAAGGGGATCATTGGAATCCACCATTAATAATATTAGTAGTGCCGGGTGTGGTGGCATTTGCCTGTAATCCCAGCACTGGGGAGGCTGAGGCAGGAGGATCCTTTCGAGTTTTGAGACCAGCCTGGGCTACAAAGTGAGCTCAAGGCCAGCTTGAACTGCATAGCAAGACCCTGTTTCAAAAAGACAAAAAAACAAAATAATGATATCAGTGGCTACCATTTGAATACTAGTATGTGCTAGGCAGTATGAAAAGTGATTTATGTACAGAATCTTACTTAACTTTATAACAATCGTATGAGAAGATTACCAATATTATTTCCATGTTATGGTTTAGGAAAAGTCTGAGAATGGTTAAGTAATTGCCCTGCTAACACATGGCAGCACCTAAATTTGAAATCAAGCCAGGCGTGGTCGTGCACACCTATAATCCCAGTACTCAGGAGGCTGAGGCAGGAGAACCTTTGTGAGTTTGACGACAGCCTGGGCTACAAAGTGAGTTCAAGACCAGCCTGAACTGCATAGCGAGACCCTATCTCAGAAGGGCAAAAAATAAATAAATAAATAAATAAATAAATAAAATCAGATCATTTTCTTAGGAATAGCAATTTGTGTGTGTGTGTGTGTGTGTGTATTTTGCAGGGAGGGGTGCTGGGGATCATACCAGGGTCTTGCATGTGCTAGGCAAGTGGCCTACCACTAAGCTACACCTTCCGCCCCCTTTTTAGTTATTTATTCATTCATGTGTTCATTTTTATGGTGCTGGAGACTGAACCTAGGGCCTTCGAAGTGTGCTACATCCCCCCCTCTTTTTTTTTTTTCCCACTTTGGGACAAGACCTTGCTAAGTTGCCCAGGCTGGCCTCAAACTTGTGGTCCTCTTGCCTCAACATCCTAGAGTGTGGGATTATAGGTGTGTGCCACCATACCGGGCTATGATTTGTAATTAATATTACAGATCTGTAGCTGTTAGCATTTTAAGTATACAAGTGACTCTCTGGAAGATACCTTGTCTCCAGAGAACACTCTGAAGTTGTGGTACTTTCTTTTCTTGCGATATTCCCATCTCTCCTGCTAGATTGCTAACTCCTTTGAGGCAGGGGGATATGAGTTATTCATCATTATATTTCTAGTTTTTAACTCATTCCCGAGCATATGATGTGATTCACTGTGCAACAAATATTCTTTGAGTACCTGCTGTGTTCTGGGGATGGAGCAGTGAACAAAAGACAGAATCACTGCTCTGATAGCACAGGCGCTTGTGACTGTATACATGAACGTACAAATAATATCAAGAAGTAACGCTACGAAGAAAAGTAAATAGTGCAAGTGCATGGAGAGTGCAGGAAGAGGTAGGTGTGCTATTTTAAGCAAGCTGGTCCAGGAAGGTCCCTCTGAGAGGTTGACATTTGGGTGAGTAGACACCGGTGAAGGGGGGGAAGGAGCTATGTGAGGAATGGAGAAAGACATTCTAGGCAGTTTTGGTGTTTTGTTTTTTGTTTTTTTTTTTTGAGGGAAGAAGAAATATTTTTATTAAAGAATCACAGTATGAGTGGATTACAGGTAAAGAGGAGGGAAGTAGGGAAAAAGATCAGAGAAGTAGCCAGGAATCAAGTTCAATAATTGTATTTATTGAATGAATGAAGCTTTTCTATCATTTTTTTTTTCTATTTTTTTCCTATTTTGCTTTTGTCTTTTTGAGACAGTGTCTCACTATGCAGTTCAGTTCAGTTCATTTTGTAGCCCAGGCTGGCCTTGAACTTGCAGCAATCCTCCTGCCTCAGCCTACCAAGTGCTGGGATTATAGGTGTGTACCACCACCCCCAGCTTTCTGTCATTTTAGAACTCCTGTCTTTTGCCCTTCTACCATGTAGTACCTGCGATAGCCTGTGACCCTAAGCAGTGTGAGTTGAAATTCTTCCCTTCAGATTGCTTGATGAGGAACTGGGAATTTGATATTGATAGGATGACACTGAGTCTACCCAGTGATGGGGCTAGTGACCAAACCTTTCCAAGACACAGCCTTGAGACCTGCGCACACTCTCGAAGTGGAGGCTTACAGACACGTACCCATCTCCCCTTACAGCCCTGCATGCACCTATACCAGTTGAAAATTTTGAGAGAATAGCTCCCCAGCCCGATCTGCTCAACCACAGATGTGGGTTTGAAATTCCTGAGCACATCAGCATGAGATAGGGCAGCCCACTGCGTGGGTCATTACAGGTTCAGCTGGGGTCGGCTGCCTGGTACAGACAACTGTTAGCAATGTGTTTGGGGTGCAGAGGACGAATACTTAGTTCTGCTTATTGTGGAGTGAGAAGGCTGGGCAGCTATTCCTCAAGCAGATATGGAAAATAATAGCCCAAAAGTTAACTCAGAAGCAGCGTTTCTGTTCTTTATGTGACTAATCTATTGATGTGTTTCATTTACCAAAAAAAAATAACAGTTGAGTGTTTTTGGTTGTTGTTTTTTGGTTTTTTTTTTTTGAGACAGGGCCTTGCTAAGTTGTCCAGGCTGGGCTTGAATTTCTGATCCTCTTGCTTCATCCTCCCAGAGTGCTGGTATTATAGGCATGAGCCACTATGCTCAGCTTTAAATTCTTTGAATTGGTTTTAAATCCTGCTCCTTGTAACTCAGCCTGACTTTGCTTTTCAAAGATAAAGCAAAGTCGGAAAGATAATGAATGGACTTTAGGGTCAACATATCTCTGAATGAGCACCCCCTCCCCCACTGTTAATCTTGAGCAGGTTATTTTCCTCTTTTCCTGTTACCTGTCTGTAAAATGAATGGAATTGTTGCTGGGTATGGTGGTGCACACCTGTAATCCCAGCACCGAGTAAGCTGAGGCAGGAGGATCACTGTAAATTTGAGGCCAGCCTAGACTACATAGTGGGTTCAAGGCCAGCTTGGGCCACACAGCAGGGCCCTCTCTCAAAAAAAAAAAAAAGGAATTGTTACAAGGAAATATTTGGAAGCACCTGGTACAGTGCCAGGCACATAGTAAACATTCAGCGAAGAGTGATATTATTTATTGTGTCCCCCACTCCGCTGTAGCTCAGTCATTTGATGGGCAGCCACACAGTCGTAATGCCTCTGCTTCTT